GTGTGTGTGTGTGTGTGTGTGTGTGTGTGTACACACGTGCACGTCAGAGATGAGCCGTGTGTGTGTGTGTGTGTGTGTGTGTGTGTGTGTGTGTGTGTGTGTGTACACGTGCACGTCAGAGATGAGCCTTGGGTTTTGCTCCTCAGGAGCCATCCACTGATTTGTGAGACGGGCTCCCGTGAGTTGCCCGAGCTTCAGCTTGCTGGTTGGTGGTGAGCACCAGGGACCCCCCGTCCCATCTGCAGCAGTGGGACGTGTCTCCTCACCACTTGGTGCTGGGGATCGGGTCCTCGTGCTGGCACGGCAAGAACCTTACAATTGTGCTGGTCCCTCAGCGGAACTGGAGTGAAGAGGACGACAGTCCGTGTTCACGCGGGTCCCGGCAGCCATCACGGCCTCTCGTTTTCTGTGTCTGACCTTTCCAAGCCTGTCTCCGTTTCTCTTCTGTGGCTGTGATATGTCCTCTAACAAAAGCAGCCCTGGGTGGAGGCCCAGGCCGGCACGAGGGGAGTCAGGGCTGAGGGGTTAGAGCAGCCGTCACAGGACAGAGAAAGCAGACGCTGCGTGTGCCCTGTCCATCGCACAGCCCAGGACCACAGTGGGCGGGCGGGCCTTCCCACTTGAGTTAATGTAACCGAGATCATCCATCACAGACAGGCACACCCGGGGGCCGTGTCCCTGCTGATCTAGTTCTGTGGAGTGACACTCACCACCACAAACCCCAGGTCTTTCCCCAGTAAGACTGCCGTGTTCTTTTAGATCGTTGTCCACAGACCCCTGCGCCACCCCCGAGGTCAGCTGGAGAAGCCTGGGGTGGACTTACACTATGCCGGATCGTACACCGTGCCCGATGCTGTTTCACACGGCCCTGTGCCCCCGCCTGTCCCTGCCGGGCAGTGTCTGTGTTCTCACTGCCACCCCGCCTTCCCAGTGTTTATTGTTGTGAGAGGAAGTGTGACTGAGGTCCCTGTGTCCATACTGGGTCTTGGGTTGTGAGATTTCAAAATGGCGGCTGTCGTGGCTTCATGGAGTTCCTCCGCCTTTCCAACAGACTCTAGCAAGGAGCTGGAAGAGCTGCGGTCCATGTTCACCCGTGCTCTGGAGTATCTGCAGCAGGAGGTGGAGGAGCGTAAGTGGCCAGCTGCGGGCTGCTCTGTTGCCTTCCCTGTTCTTGCTTGTCGAACCTCGTCCCGGCCAGGGGTGCTTCCTTTACATCCGTCCTAACTGTTCTTTCCGTTCTGGAAGGTTTCAGTGAGAGCGGAGATCCAAGTTGCGTGATCATGCAGAGCTGGGCGCGGGTTGAGGTGAGCATCTGCACAGACCTGTCTGTCACGCCCTCCTTGGACGGCTGTGGTTAAGGGCTCTGTTTGCCAGTCATGAAAACCGGGGCAGAGTCTGAGGGTGTGGTCTCGGTGCTGAAGGACTCGTGTTTACCTGGCCTGCTGGGCCTGATTGGTTTTCTTGCTGTAGACATTCTCAGCCAGTAGCTGCTTAGCAACAGTGCCTGGATGCTAGGGCTCGACTCCTTCACCTCCTCAGCCCTTCCCTCACTGATGCTCGAGGGAGTACTGAGTGCCTGCTGTTTGCCAGCACTCTGCAGGGGCTGTGAATGAGCCGGTCTGCGTACTTAGCTTTTCACCTTGTCTGGAAGATGGACGGTTTGAGCAATAGAGGGCACAGTTGGATGCTATTCCTGAGCCAGGGACCCCGAGCTGAGTGAGGAGCCCCCTCTTCATCAGCTGATGAAGACTATTACAGCTCCAGTCCTGTTCCATGATGGGAGTTGGGTCAATGAAACTAACCTTGTTGGGTAATTCTGTGAGATTCTTGTTGAATTTTGAAGGATGAGAAACAGGCTTCCCGCTTAGGTGAAGTTACTAGTTCAAATCACGTGACTTTGGAGTGTCTGCACTGCCATTGCAGCGGCTGGGTCAGTGTCTTCCTCTGCAATGCTCTCCAGGCAGACATCTGTAGTCAGGTTTGTGTAAAAAGGAAACGCGGCCCCGTCTCAGCCATGTTTGCAAAAGCTGACAGTGGGACCTTTTGTCTTTCCTGCGGCACCAGGCCGCTCTGTGCTGCAGCTTGCAGCCCAGCTACAGCTCTGTGCAGACCTTAGACTCCCTGTTGCAGAGAGGCAGCCGGCTGCAGGCCTGCTAGTGCTGGAGCCTGCGGGGGCTCGTGTGACCCAGGCGTGGGGCAAGGAGTGCTGCAGGCGTGCCTGTGTGGACGCTGCTGTAGGAGGAAGGGTCTGGGCTTGTCGCAGCTGACCTTGCTAACGCATTCCAGGCTCGTCTGTGCAACAACATGCAGAAAGCTCGAGAGCTCTGGGACAGCATCATGACCAGAGGAAACGCCAAGTA